TTTAGTTCAATGTTGTTCTTTCCCCTCATTTTGAAACATTATCAAAAGCCTATATCTGGAAACATGATTTTAGTGCATAAATGGAAATAATTGTTTAAGTGTGGGATTCAAAAGTATTTATATTAAACTGAGACTTTTTTTTTTATGTGAAAACTTTTTTTTATTTTTTATAATTGTTGTAAATTTTAAGATTTACAACAATGGGGTACATTCAACCCGATGAATGTACCCCATTCATTGGGGTGAATATCTTAAACATTTTGGGAGTGTGTTGGTGTGAATCGAGAAACGTAGATAAGCCATAAAAAAGCTGGGTTGCTTTTTAAATAATCCAGGCTGTCTTCTAATTTGAAGCAAAAACACATTATTGATGCAGTCGTCTCCATGGAAACTGGACCAATGCTGCTTATACCATAGCTAGGTTGCAGGTTGAGTGAATCCCAGCTACAACTAATAAACGGCTCAACAATCACCTGGAAAATTTTCACATCAGTAGAAAGAAATTCACTGAATAAAATAACTTCCTGTTTCGGAACAGACCAACCCAATCAGCAAACATCTACGGAAGAAACCGGGCAGAATTGGTTGCTCTTGCTTTGTGATTCAGGCTCTTGGTGTCCGTGTGTTTCTGCTTGCATTTAGCTGTTGTTAGACCACTTTCTTCTTTGTGTCTCTTCCCTCTTGTTCCTCACAGAAAAGAGGAGGGTCACGTTTGAAAGTAAGTTAGCCACCATCAAACGCCTGAGCTCACCTCCGATGCCAGCATGCTGCACCGTGTGGAAACTTTCCGCTCTCGCTGTGTTCGTCTGTTTCACTGTCTAACTTGACCAAAGACGGCTTTCTTCCTCGAGACAGGAAGACGTGTTGTGTAGGACGGGTGGCTTTTCACTCAGGAGCATTTAAATACATTTCATGCTTACTAGCATGTGCAATCTGATTTTTAGTTTGACTGTTTTAAGGCCCAGTTCCAAATCCATTCCTTAAAACGCCTTCCAGTGCTTGAAAATAATGCATCTGATGCAAATCTTTGCTGATCCTTGCAGTTATTTACCACTTTGCCTCATGTCAGTAACTTCTATCTCTGCATCGTTTTTTTTTTCTTCGTTTTTTTTTCTCTTTCCCCTGTTTGCTTTGCAGAATTCGGTCGCCGTGTGAAGGAAAGAATGCACCACAACATTCCTCATCGTTTCACTGTCGGCCTCAACATGAGGGCTGCCAAATGTGCCGTCTGCCTGGACACTGTTCACTTTGGACGGCAGGCTGCCACTTGTTTAGGTCTGTATCGTGCTTTTCAGCGGCACAGATGGAACATAAAAAATATTTCCGGGGACACTTTATTGGCAGGAAATAACAAAAATACTGGAATCATTCTTGTAACGCAGCCTTTAGATGGATTAATCTGGCTTCTTTCTTCCTGGGTAGGATCATCGGTTTCACAGCTATCGTCTTAGAAAAGACAATAACAGAGACAACAATGTCCAAGTTGATTGACTGCTGGCCTGGAGTTGTTTACATGTACCCCATTCATTGGGATGAATATCTTAAACATTTTGGGAGTGTGTTGGTGTGATTACATATATACTCCACTCCACTAATGTTTAAACACACTTCCCTTAGCAATGTGTAGAAAAAAACAAAGTGTAGCAGTCAGCAGGACTCTGGTATAATTCCAGCTGGTTATTTGATCTCTCTTCTTACCAGATTTTTTTTGCCAAGGACTCAACAGAAATAGTCCACACATTTCCAATCATTTTGTCGTCTCAGTCGTTTTAATAAATTTGTTCTCATTGTCTGACTGGAACAGCCGATATTGCCCATCTAGTTATTGATTTGAGGTGAAGTAGAGTGATTTGGAGAAAGTCGTAGTTTTTGTGCTGTTCTGAAGTTTGGACGCCTTACCTTCATTGCAGACACCTTTTGTTATTGTGGCTATACTGCTTTGTCTGAGCATGAAACCTTTTCTCCAAGGGCTATCTTGCCAGTCTGTTCTCCACAGATCAAGTTGAAGTCAAGCTGTCTTCTTTGAGGCTCCTGCAACCAGCTTTCAGTTCGTCATTCATTCTCACCAGTTTCTTTTCATCTGAGAGGGACAGATGGTTGAAATTTGGCCACAGTCGGGCGTTTTAACAGGACACTGTTTTTTAAACCAATGTCAAAACTGTTTTGGAGTGGATAAGTCAGGCTCAAGTTAGGCTTCAGGAATGGCCACAGGCTAAAACCAAGTTTACTATATACTATATTTAAAAGGCCAGTCTGTGCTAGGAAACTGTACAGTTTAAATGAACTCTACAACTTCTGATAAGGATGATTAAATATCCAGAGAGGATTATTCTAGATGCTTTTTGGTAACGAAACTGGATCTTGGGGTTATTTTAATGTAATGGTGAGCTGTTTTAAAGGCTTTTTTCATCCTCCTTTCTGTCTCGTTGCAGAGTGCCACACCCTGTGCCACCCCAAGTGTTCCCCGTGTCTGCCGGCCACCTGCGGTCTGCCAGCCGAGTATGCCACTCACTTCTCAGAGGCTCTGTGCAGAGAAAAGACAAACTCACCCGCTTTGCAAATGAAGGAGGCCACTGGGCACGTTCGTCTCGAAGGATGGATGAAGCAGCCTAGGTAATAGTCTTCCCCAGTACAGGTGTTTTACAGCTTTTCTGAATGTTGTATACAGCAGTAATAAATAGTTTAAACCTTCATATTTCACTGGATAGAAATGGCAAACGCGGCCAGCAAGGATGGGAGAGGAAATATGTGATTCTGGACGGAACCAAACTATCGGTCTACGATACTGAACCTGCAGAAGGTCAACAATTGTTTTTGTTTTGTTGTTGTTGTTTTTTTTCTATGCATTACATTTTTAAAATAAAGATAATTCTGTTGAATTTATATTGATATAATTTAAGTTCAGGTTTTCCTGCATAGACCACATCTGTTTCTTTTTTTTAGACTCTCTAAAGGCAGAGGAGGAGTTTGAGCTGTGTTTAGGTGATGGAGAGGTCACAGTTCACGGAGCCATCGGTGCCTCTGAGCTCATCAACACGGCCAAGTCGGGTAAGAAAAACTACAGTTAATTCTGCTGATGAAAAAAGATCGAATGTTTTTCATTTTGTCATTTTCTGGTTTCAATGTTTGCTTTCACTACGGCATTTGTAAAACAAAATAAAAATGAGGCCATACCAACAACTATCTGTGTTTTTTTTTTTTTTTTTTTTTTTTTTGGAAAATTTTAAAAATTTATTTTTAAATTTTTTTTTTTTTAAAAAAAAAAAAAATAGAGTTTTTTTTTC